TCAGTTTTCCGAGGCAAAGGCTGGGTTGGCACTCGCACAAGCTAGTGCGGCGTTTGGATCGTTCGTGGGTCTCTTGCGCGCAAGCCTCCGGGAGAGGTCCATCACTCGAAATTCACCATGGCGGGTAACCTCGACCCGACGCTGCCTCAGACTTTGTGGTCGATGACGACAACGTGTGTGCCCATTCTCTCCCGCAATGTTTGGCAGCCGCCCCCTCGCTCGTCGGAGCAGTGCTCACCGTCAACACTTTATTGTCTCGACCCTTTTTTCTTTTTTCTAGCTGGGACTCAGTGAAGACGAAGAACCCGTCAACACGGCTTGGGGCAAACTGCTGCCAGATCGTCCGGGTTTTGATCTCATCGGTAGCCTCGCCGCACCTCCGTGATCTGACACTGCCCCTTCTCTCTCCCTCTCTCTCTCTCTCTTCTTGGCCGCGTCGACCTTTTTTCTTACCTGCCCTCTCCCCCTCCACCCCCTCCACCCCTTAGAGCTTGTGGAGGACGAGTACTCCTTTGGTCGCCATGCCACCTGCACCATCAAGTTTACTGACCCTGCCATTAGTAATCGGCATTGCACCATCCGCCGCGTAGGTCTCTCACCTAGATCCCGATCCTCTCTGCCCCCCCCCCTCGAGTGGACTTGATGACTTGATTTCTTTTCTGTTTGTCTCTCCTTTTTTTTTTCTTTTTTTTTTTCTTTGACTTGTTCCCACATGGCCGTGTTCTCTTGTACAGGAGCGACCCAAGGAAGCCTATTCGCAGTACGATGAGGACGAGTTGTAGTCAAGCTCACGGATACCAGCAGCAATGGCACTTTTGTTGACAATCAGCGCGTGGGCAAAGGCAATCATGTCGTCCTTCGCCACAACGCCCTCATCGAGCTGACTCAGGGCAAGAAAACCAGATATTGTCCGTGTCCGTGTCCGTGTCCGTGTCTGCGTCTGCGTCAAAGTCTGCGTCTGCGTCAAAGTCTGCGTCTGCGTCCGTGCCCGTGCCCGTACCCGTGTCCGTGTCCGTGTCCGTGTCCGTGTCCGTGTCCGTGTCCGTGTCCGTGTCCGTGTCCGTGTCCGTGTCCGTGTCCGTGTTTGGGTGTCCTATCTCTGTTATTTCCGCCCCCGACTCTTGACTGGTTCGGTCTTTGCTCGCGACAACGCAGCGCCGCGCTACGTGTTTCACATGGGCCAGTCAAGCATGCAGTCATCGCATCCGGCCATCGAGGACCGGTACAACCTTACAAAACCTCTGGGCACCGGTGCCTGTGGCGAAGTACATCTTGCCATCGACAAGCGCACCGGTCGCAAGTACGCCGTCAAAATCATTTCCAAGCGCAAGTTCACCTCCACCGTGGTAAGCCCGCCGCCCTGTTTTAGGTCATTTTGCCTACCTCGCAGTGCAATAGACTTGAATTTTTGGCTCTCAATTCTGCTGCGATGTGTAGGGCTCGTCCATTGGAGTTTCGGATGCACAAGTCATGGCCGAGGTTGATATCCTTCTCAAAATCAACCATGTATGCTCTTCTAACTGTCTGGCCACAAGCCCATAATTCCCCTTGCTCTCGCAACCCTCACCTGTATCTCGCTTCACTTCTTTCCGCCTGATCAACTGACCAACAGCCCAACGTCATCCACGTACACGACGTGGAGAATACACCTTCTCACCTGTACATTGTACTCGAGTTGTACGTGGCAAACTCCATTTGCTTTGGTGCCCCCCTACTGGGTGTGTTTAGAAGGTTCAACCCTGACGCCTCTTTTCTTTCATCTTTTCTTCCACCTCACTAGAGCGTCTGGTGGCGAACTCTTTGATCGCATCGTCGACAAGGAGAAGTTTTCCGAGGACGTGTCCAAATTCTACTTCCTGCAAATGTTGGATGCGGTCAAGTATCTTCACGAGTGCGTCTTGCTGTTTTGTCCTGTTCCCACATCTGCAAAGCAGAACGGGGCCTCTCTTTCCGCTTCGTTTGTGCCTAAACTTGCATCTGGCCATGCGTATCCTTTTGGCAGCCAAAACATTGCTCACCGAGATCTCAAGCCAGAGAACATTCTCCTCACCAGCAAGAGTGACGACTCTCTGATCAAGGTGCCAGCCGTGTGGCCCTGTCCTCGCTAACCAGCTTTAGTGATTTCAGAGCACCCTTCCGCGGGTCTCATTTGTCTGCCACTCTAGATTACGGATTTCGGACTTGCCAAGCTTGTGGGCCCACAGTCCTTTATGAAAACCATGTGTGGCACTCCCAGGTCAGCCATTTCCCAAGAGACAACCACACCTGCTTATGAATTCCAAAGTCATTGCTCGACAGCCCCGTTCTCATCTGTGTTGGCTACCTCCACGTAGCTACCAAGCCCCCGAAGTGCTCAAAATGACGGACCGTTGCCAGGAAGAGGTGTGGCTGACACGTTCTGACCCATGCAAACGCCGATGTAAATGTTCCAGGCAGCCGCCAGCTCACGGGAATTATGTTGCCTGGCAGGGCTACGGTAAAGCCGCTGACATGTGGAGCTTGGGAGTGATTCTCTACATCATGTACGCGCCAACCTTTTTTCGTTTGTTTCCAATTCTTTTTTCCAACTGAAAAACAGCAATGCCGAACTCACAACCACCACTTTTTTGCGCAGGCTGTGTGGTTTTCCTCCCTTTTCAGAGGATCTGAGCACTGACCTTAGCCTGGCAGAACAGATTTTAAGTAAGTGCACGATGCTTCCATCTCTGCAACTCATCGTCAAAAGTACTGGCGCTCACATTGGCTTCTGCGCCACGAAAACAGCGGGGACATATACATTCTTGGAGCCGTACTGGGATGACATAAGTGACTCGGGTACGTAACATCTTTGTGTCTTGGTTGACCCAGAAGTTTTGATGACATACTTACCGGCCATGGACATGAATAGCCAAGGACATGGTGTCCAAGCTCTTGGTGCTGGATCCTTCCCAGCGGCTGACGGTGGAGGCTGCTTTGCAGCATCCATTCCTTCAGGTTTGACTTGAGATGATGTTGTTTTGTGCTGCGCTGTTTTTTTTTTTTTTTTTTTTTTTTTTTTTTTTTTTGTTTTTCGAGCATATGCATTGAAGCGTCTCTCATTGACAGCCGGGCTTGTGTGATATTTAGGACGATCTGGTCCGCGAGCAGGTGAAGCAAAAGCAAACCGTGGCCATTGAGCGTCGCTTGCAAGTGGGCAACACCCAGACATCGGCCATCCGCCGCTTTCAGGGTGAAGCCAACGGGGATGCAACTGCGGCCCCCACGGCCAAACGCGCAAAGGACCAATAAATAAAATTATCGCCCCGCGAATTGCATACTATGTCCTCGACATTACTCGGGATGCGTTCTGAGTCAAAAGCGTTGATGCCACTAGCACATTGATCAATTCAGCCCAGAGTCTGGGTGCGTGCGCTTACTCGCCTTGAATAGCGGTGGCCGTGATGGTGGCGTTGACCGCTTCTTCAAAATTAACCTACAAGCCCGCGCGGTAGGGCACAATACTCATGAGGCCGAGCAATCATGTGGGATGCCCAGATAGAGAAGTGTGCATGAAGCTTGACCTGGGCAGTCATATTGGAAAAGGAGGCATAATGGCGAGCAAAGGAGGGCGTGTTCATGGTCACACTGTATTCAATGCGACCAATCCATGGAAACAACAGGGCGTCTGAAAAGTCAAACAACGCCTGCGTGCCCGTAATCTGAAACATGTCATCGGGTGCCGGGCATGTGAGGTGGTGGCCAGTAAATCTGGCAAAAAGCAAAAGGCTACTTGTCATGGAGCAGGTCGAACCGTCTTTGCCTGTGTGGCGCGGGTGTGACGGGTGTTGCCAAAGTCGTCAACAACTTGCACATTGCTGACCTATTGGTCATGCATTGGCACAGTCGAACCACCACGATGATGAGTGCTGCTTGAGACGCAAACGGGTCCGAGCAATAGACACACCGAGGTAAAGGTTCCATTTATGGCAACAGCGACGGGGTTGTCGTTGGTGAAGCTGTTGTAGCGCAGGATTGTGTCCTCAGCTTGACCATGCACGGCCTGAATCCAGGCAGTAGTCTATGGCGGCGTTGTGAGGCTGGCTGGAGAGCTTAAATGTTGCATAGGAATGCACAACCGACCTGCAAGAAGAACGTGTCTTCCACAATCACTTTGCTTGGGTCGTTGATGAGAAGGTGGTTGTAGTCGAGATAGCAGGTACTCAGGCGTGTATTGTGCGAGTTGACTTGAATGCCAATTCCACCACCATTCCACGTGTGCACGCCAATCAAGATATTGGCACCCCCGTTTACGACCACGCCCGTCTAGACGAAGAGAGAGGGAGGACAAGATAGAAGCAGAGGATGGCACGCGGTGGGCCGTGCAAGAAAAGCGTGGTTGGGCCGTGCGTGGGCAATGAGCAATTGTCGGCAAGACGAGGGTGTTGTGCGTGGCACCTGCACCTGCCTTGGTAAAATCAAAAACAATGACGTCGGTCAGAAGGTGATCATTGCCATCGAGCAACACGCCAACGGAGGTGGAGTTTTTCTTTCGCTGCTCAGGTTCAGACCAATACAACTCGCTGAGCCAAGCTTCAAGCAACATGACTTCGTGTGATCCCACCACATGGAGGCCAGCCTGCGACGCGAGTTGAGGTGTCGATGGGAGTGAAGGCATGGCCAGCACAGACAGCAGTCGAGAAGACACAAATTGGCAAGTAGGAAGCTAACAACCGACTTGGAGAAAACCATGAAAAAAAATTGAGGGTCCAAGCGTAGCACCCATGGTGCTGGCAATATACACGCAGCCTGCCGCCACCTGTGTGCACGGTGCGCGGTGGATGGGCAGGGGTGAGAATGGACACCTTTGTGTGAGGTCTAGGGCGCAGCTCTCAGCTCGGTCAAGGCCGGCCATACTTGAGAGGCGTCCAGCAACAGCTCCGAGAGCTCGATAAACTCGTTGCAAGACTTTTGTTGATCCGGTTGGCAACTGCGACTCGAGGGCAAGCCAACAGTGAAGAAGAGCGTGAGGTTCAGATTCGTGAGTGAACGGGATCGGGCCCCGTCAGCGCGCTGGCGCGAGGCACGCGCAGGTCATGGCGTACCCGTCTTGACCAATCTGAATGAGGTAGCCATCCGACGGGAAGCTGCGGCTGGCTCGTAGTGAGCCGCGAACGATACGGCTACAGGGACCAATATATTTTCACAGGGCAGTAGAGCCCAGGCTGGCATCAGGAATACGACCTGGAATTGGGAGCGATGTGGAGGACTATGCGTCGCAAGGCAAGCAACACGAGCAAAGTACCGAGGCTTACGCATTGCCGAAAAAGGTGGGAAAGACCAAGGACTGTGAGATGAGGTATTCTCCACCTTGGAGATCCATAGTGATGCCACCCAGGTTGGTGATGCCCGAGGCCATCTTGGGCACCGAGGCATTGTAAGACAAGAGATCTTTCATGGCTGCTTGGAAGGCGGCCGTGCTATCATCTCGCCCTGTGGGCGCCAGGAGCGAGAGTAAGCCCATGATGAGGGAATGGATGTGCAAGCCAAACAAGCGACAACCGGGCAGATACCGGTTGGATCGGCTCCGTAGGTGATTGGATTGATGGTCGGAACCACGGGCTCGCCAAACGTGCGTCCCCGTGCTCGGGCTTCGTTGAAGAGTTGGCGGCCGGCCTGTCGATGCAGCTGATGACGCGATTCATCTCCCGGCAAGAGACCAACCACGGGCATGGGCAGAGCCGACGCAGCTGAGTTGGTACCCAAGCGTCGGCGCTGGTCACTGGCATGTCGCAAGGCCTGAGCGTGCAATTCCTTGGCGTGCTCGAGGTCGCGCGGTTGCGGGATTGCGCGCCCAAACCCCTCGATCCCCATGTCCACTGCCTTTGCCACATCCACCGTTCCAATCGTCACCAGCGCCACCACCACCACCGTCATCATCCATCCCATTCCTAAAATCCCCCCACCTTGACTGGCTGCCATTTTGCCGAACGCACGGATGTATGTGTGTGTCAGTATGTGTGTGTGTGCGTGTGTGTCTGTGTCTGTGTCTGGCTGTGTCTGTGTCTGTGTGTCTGGCTGTTTCTGTGTCTGTGTGTCTGTCTGTGTCTGAGCGATTAGGGAGTGAGCGAGTCAGTGCGTGTGCGAGTGTGAACGTGTGAGCGCGCCAGTGTCAGCGAGTCTGTGTGTGTGGGTGTGCGCGTCAGTTAGTCGATCGAAAAAAAAAACACAAAACACACACTCACACAAACAAAACGAAAATGATGACAATTTGATTGTCATCAAAATGTCACACACACACACACACACACACACACACACACACACACACACACAAAATCATAGGAGACCGACGGCACGAGGCAACCGAGTCCGACGTGGTGATGATGCAGATGGGCGAGGGGGATGAAAGAGGGTGAGGTGAGGTGTGGGAGGGACCTGGTCGGCAGTGGAAAACACTTGTAGAGGGTTTACTGGATTTTATATCTGTTGAGTTGACGGTGATGTGAAGGGTGAGAACGGAAACAAGTTCGAGACGCCAAAGCAATGCTCACTGCGAGCTGACGTGCAATTCGCATCAAGGCGCCGAGCGGGGGCGATGGGATGAGAACCGAGCATTTGCTTCCAGAGTTGTGAATGTGTACGATCGTGGTCACATTGAACTTCCATGACGGAGCAGAACACTAATGAAGCACGAATGAAGCACGAATGAATTTGAGGATTTTGCTGCCTACGGGGTGTCATGGGTGGTAGTATGCGCCTCAGTCCGCCGATGTTGCGCGTTTGGTTTGGGGATGTGCTTGTGAAATGCTTGCGTGGTGGGGTGGGGGCGTCAGAATTTGCGAGTCATGGCGTAGTCAAAAGGAGGTATGAATGGCAGCAGGACAGATGTTTGCACCAACAGCAAAGGGACAACGCGAGCAGTCGGCTTGTGTCAACTAAGCAACAGGGGCTTTGCCGAGCATCAGCGGCTGGCAGAGGCTTTCAAAGTGTGGGCATGCAGCAAAATTGTGCTTTTCTCCTCTTCCACCCGACCCCATACCTCCCGCCCATGTGTACAGTCACATGTCGCCCGAGTGTAGAAGTGGTTAGACCTACGTTGACTGAAAGGATTGCGGCTCAATGAGTGGATGACGGACATTGAACAGGAGGCATTTTTCTGACCAAGGATCCTCACGTTGATGCAGCTGTGTCTTGCCTCCAGTGGTGATGACGCCCTTCTTCATGTGACCCCTTGCTTCGATTTGTAAAGATCGCCATGGATGTTCTCATGGGTCTGGGTGGAGGGGGCGTGGTGCTCGTTGCCTTGGTTGTGGCGGTCGCCATGTGTCTGGGTCAAGGTCGGAACGTGCCACCCAAAAAGCGCATGGCGCGCGCCATTCGTCGTGCCTTCCCAAACGGCATGCCTATTTTCTTTCATGGCCCCATCAACCGCGACGTGACCATCAGTCGCATTGCCGCATATGGCGGCGATCCGTACGTTGTTGATTCGCTCGTGCTGATCTGTGGAAACGATGTTGTCCACCCAAACCACAGGAAACAGGCAGCAGCCACGCCTGCTCGCTGACTGATCACCTCTACCGGCGGCTCGTCTCACCTCTCTTCTTCTCGTTACACCGTGCCTTGTGCAGCCCGGAGGGTGCATTTCTGTTGCGTGTCAAGGAGCCACAGGAACACCAGCATGAGGTGGTCTTTTGCATTTCCTCCGTTGTTGAAAGCAGCGCCTCTGGCAAGCCACTGGCCCAGCGCGTCCTCCATTTTCTTGCCTTTTTCAACGCCAAGGGCAAGTTTCGAGTGGTTGGCCGTGCCAAGGGCCAAGCCAAGGATGAAGTGTTTTTGTTCAATAGCATGGAGGAGGTACTCAGTCGGTGTGGCTCCAACGACGACGACTCTTTTTTTGACACACCGCTCACGCATCCCGTAGCCTGTGACTATCGAGAGCTTTCTGCCTTCCGCGATGAGCTCAACGAGCTTTTGGCCCCCCTCACCGTGGTCATTACATCCAACTCCCAGCCGTCTCCACAGCAAGCTCCCGAGAATGCCACGACGAGCTTGGCGCCCGCACCCGTATGGCACGCTATCGACGTTCAGACCCACGAGACAGATGACAGTGCTAGCTTACAGGCACCGGCATCCGGCCCGTTAAGGACAAACAGGGATGTATACGTGACGCCGTTATTTCAAATCCCCGAGCCAAGGTCGTCGTCCCCGCCATTGGGCAACTCACACGCGCTGCAGGCGACAGACGCGAGCCAGGCCATAGACATGCCAGACGCCACGGACCACCGCACTGTGTTTGGCACTAACCGGCCCGCCAAGGCCAAAACGAAACCCCATCAGTATATCAATACATCTATCCATGCCACGAGTCAGGTCCATGGCATGCCGGAAGTAACGGACCATCGCGCTGTCTTTGGCGCTAGCCGGCCCGCCAAGGCCAAACCGAGCACCCAAGAGTATGTCGATGTGCCTATCCACCTCATGGGCAAAGAGGCGAACCGGCATGAGGCCACGGCTGCACCTACTCAAGTTGGGGCTGCTTCAAGCAGACCAATGCTGTCTGGGAGTATCAGCAGGCGGCCAGCTGATCTAGAACAACCCGCGGTTTCTCGCAGCAGCGCCTACGCGCAAGTCGACGACCCGATTTGGGCTACTCCCCCCAAAAAAGTTAACGAGGCTTTTAGCAGCTATCTCACCCAATCCCGTTTATCCATGTCGCGCGATGATTCTGCCCAGACGGCTCGTCAGCTTGCAATAAGCTACGCATCGCTGGATGAGCATGCAACCTATCAGAATAGTCGTGCGTGAGGCCATCACCGCGACTTTAAGACCACCTACCTACCTGCTCATTTCACTCTTAATTGACTTTCTGACTTGTGCTCAAACTGTCTGGCAATTTCCTTGCGTCTTCCGAACTGCTTTGCGGTCGATGAACACGTCATGCGGTGAACAAGTGACTTTTTCCGGGAGCAAGGACGGGGCTCGAGTCCTGTGCTGGGATGCTTTGTTGTGTGTTACGGTGCGAGAAATGGACGTGGTGGATGGTGGGTTTTTTCTGACCGTGATTGTCGTCGGACTGGAGTGTGTGTAACCCTAGCCCTGCTTTTGTGTCGCGTGGGAAAGAATTTAGGGTGGAGTGAACCTCAAGCTTTTGGGGTGAACGAGCCAAAAAGGGTAAAACTGCTGTGATGCGCGCACAGGTGCTTGGGGTCGGTGGGGTAACCCAGAGGAGCGAATTGACAATAATTATTTAAAAAAATTTGTTCGGTTGTTCTGTGTTGTTTGTTGCAGTCCCCGCGCCGGCAACCATCCCAGACTTGAGCGCTCGAGTTGAGAGATGTGCATAGGCGGTCGCATTGCCTGTTTGTTGATGATGCTGCACACCTTTGGCATATGCGCGTCTACCATATTGGTGCCAACCGACAACGGGCGGGCTTTCGGACTTGTGACATGTGACAAAAGTGTGCAAGGCACCCATCAACGTCGTCTTGGGCCTGTGGGCATAGCCAGCAGCAGGGAACTGGGGCAGGGACCGACGGCGTTTCCAATTGTCATGAAGCAATGTTCCACATGGCTGAGGGTGTCGTGTTCATGGTAGGCAAGGCTGATTGTTGAGTGTGGGCTTTGTTGTGGGATTGGCGGACTCAAATCGGCATGGTTGCAAACAGTTGTGAGTGGGCAGGTGGTGGGCATGAGAAGAAAAGAGGTGCGACGCCAGGCATGCTGTAACAAATGCCGGTAGCGGTGAATGGCTCTCGCGCCGCGGGAACAGAGCACAGCCGAGAACAGGGACAGAGACAGAGAGAGAGAGAGCGACAGAGCGACAGAGCGACAGAGCGAGAGAGCGAGAGAGCGAGAGAGAGTCAAGAGAGAGTCAAAGTCAAAGAGAGAGAGAGGTCACACATACACACACACAGAGAACAAAAGAAGAACGTGAGGAGCAGCTGCAACAGCGCCAAACCACTTTTTGCCCCATAAAACAGTTACACATGGCTAGCCACGCCACACATAGGTACGACAAAAACCACACCTATTTGACGGGTTTTACATTACATGACCTTTGGAGTATCACACGTGGAGGATAGAAATCTTATACGTAAACGTCAAGACCGGGGTCACGTTGGCGGCCGAGCACGTTTCCGGTCGCGCTCGCCTGGCGAGCCGCTGAAGCAAACTCCATTTTCATCCTGCGCACTGCTTCCCTGGCACGACGCTTCGCTTCTTCGTACACCGTGGCACTTGCCCTTCGCATGCACACGCACACGCACACACACACACGCTGTGCGGATCGTGCGTGGCGTGCGCATGGTTGGGTTTTGAGCAACTGTTGCGGCTCTGCCTCGCCCTCGCTCGACGTTTTGGCAGCCGGTGCCCTTGACCGTGACTACGATTCCATTGTGCGCTTGCACGTCCCGTCCGTGACTCGCATCCCCTCCCCCTCCTTCTTGCGCGAGCTTTGAGTCGAAGCGTCGGGATGGATGCAATGACAGCCGTGAGCGGCGGCGCCGTGGTGCTGGTGGCCCTGGTCGTGGTGGTTGCCATGTGCCTGGGTCTGGCGCCTCAAGCTTCCCCCAAGGTACGCATGGCTCGAGCCATTCGTGCTGCTTTTCCCAGCGGCATGCCCGACCATTTTCATGGCCCTATTAGCCGCGAAGAAGTGGTGCACCGCATCGCCAATACCAGCGACAATCCGTACGTTGAGCTGAGCAGAGCCGAGGCGGGAAGCAAAGCAAGGAATGAATTTGAATCCTGCCGTCGGCTCGCTGCCGTCCCGTTCGACCCACCTCCCTTGCTAGCCGTGCCGTCTCACTTCGCCCCTGCCTCCACCATCCCCCGCCCCGCCATGTCTTGTCTTCTCTCCTGCAGCGAGGTTGGCACTTTTTTGTTGCGAGTCAAGGAACCGCAGACCCAGGGCCAGGAGGTCGTCTTTTGCATCTCCTCGGTCGTCGAGAGCAGCTCTTCTGGCAAGCCTCTAGGCCAGCGCATCCTCCACTTTCTCACCTTCTTTGATTCCAGAGGCAGATTCCGGGTTGTTGGCCGCGCCAAGGGCCAAAACACAGATCAGGTGTTTTTGTTCAATGACATGGAGGAGGTCCTCGATCGCTGCGACTCGAGCAGTAACGGCACCTTCTTCAACACACCCCTAACACACCCCGTCGTCTGTGACTACCGGGAGCTTGCTTCCTTCCGCGATGAACTCAACTTGCTCTTGGCCCCTCTTACCGTGGTCATCACTTCGGGCAGCACGCATCATGGCGCAAGGAATACGGGCACGGGCTCGATGACAGAGCAACCCCCAGCCCTGTTTGATCGTCCATCAAAGGAAAATTGGCACGTTATGCAAGGCGGGCGGGACCTGCCCGCTCGCTCACGCTCAGGAACCCAAGTTCTCCCGCGGTCGGACACACAAACCCGGCCGCGCTCAGAAACCCAAATTCGGCCGCGCTCTGAAACCCAGTTTCGCCCCCGCACGGAAACCCAATTTCGCCCATCATCCATGACACTGAACCCGTCTTTGCTTCAGGACGACGACACATACCTTCTACCTGTGGCTGACACTACCAATCTGCCGTCTTCCTCCCCGCCACTTGGAAACGCACACTTGAACTCTTTGGATGAAACAGATGCTGACGTGTATGGATTTGAGCTTCCGAGCCTTCCGCCCGGAACAGCTGCTCATAGTACATATGCGCAGGTGGACACGCACCCACCACCGGTGCAGACAATTGTTATGAATAGCCCTCAAAGCACGGCCTACGTCAATGCAGTGAGGTCGCCCGCCTATGTTAATCTCGCTGATCAGGGCGTCAACGAAGCCGTTCAACTGCCGCATGGTCCAGCCGTCGCAGACTACGCAGCTCTGCAAAACCACCTCATCTATGAAAAAAGTGTGGCTTGATCAGTGCCGTCATCAACATGTGTACAACGTATGCCGGGCTCTCGAGTGAAGCCCTCCAGTGGACAGCCATAGTCTTTTTAAAGTCAATTCATTTACAGCTAGTTTGATTATTTTCCGTTCTCGTGTTCCTGCTACCCTAGGAGGCTATTTCTCTTTGTGCAGCGGCGTCGTCCACATTAGCAGGCCTCGGCGATAACATACGTGCGAGTGCATCCTTGTCCAACGAGGGAGATCTGGTCTTTCAGAGTTCTGCTCAAGACATGCACAGAAAAAACAAATGTCATAGTACATTGACATGCACGCCTGGCCAAACAGCATGAGAGCCGTACTTGAAAGCATCCTTGCATGCATGCAGTTGTGCACAAACCGATTTTTTTTTTTTTTTTTTTTTTTTTTTTCCCCAATTTTGAGCTGCTACTTGCGTAGATTGAGCGGCGATGAGGTGAAGGCATCTGTGCAGGGGAACCTCAACCCCCCTCCCCTTTATTGACAGGCAGAAGCGGGTTGGCATGAGCGTGAGCCCGGCGGCTCGGCGTGGTCGCGACGCCCGCGCCGAGGCCACGACAATGGTCGCTGTCGATCTGGGCCCACCACATACAACCACGGGCGCTTCTCGACATGGTGAGCGTCGGGCGGTGCGCCTTCTCCAAGGATGGTCTGTGCGGGCATGGCCCTGGGTTCTGGGGCTGCTGACCAGCTTGTCCATTCTGGCCCTTTGGCGTGCTGGCCAGCCGCATGCTTCTTTGCCAGCCCCATCTTTGCCAGTCACGCAGGAGGAAAGCCATTTGCACGTGGTCGATCCAAACAACATCGATGGTGGTGGTGTCAAAGTCAGCCTTGCCCGCACCTCAGCGTCGCGGCATGAGAAGTCCTTCTCCCGCGCGTCCGACGCGCACCAGCGGCTACTGCGCGGCTCCTCCGTCTTTTGTACAGGCGCTGATGAGGATCACCGCTCCTGCGCCTTTGATCATCTGTGCTATGATCGCAACGTGGACCAATTTGTATTTCTTCGGGGCCCAGATTCGCTGGCCATTGGGCTATCTCCGCGGTTCGTAGTGCGCTATTGTGCAAGTTGATCAACCATTGCTTAGTCACACAAGTCTGCTGCTCATGCAACTTTATCTTCCTGGCACACCTGGCGTAGCGGGCCCGAACCTCTCATCTCCCTCTCCTCGGTTGAGCGACACAACGTGCAACACTGGGACTTTGTGGATGTGGATGGTACAACTATGCATCTCATACGGCACAGCGTGCGCAATCTTCTGCTTCTCTAGAGACGTGTCTAACATGTTTGCTGCTGGATGTAGTGGATTACTTGAGCACCGTGTCCAACGATGATATCGAGCTTGTCACGGTGCCGGCCCTGCTCTATCGGTGCGTCAACCCAAGGCGCGGATGCTGCGATTGCAAGCACGACAATTTGACGTGTTCATCCGTGGGGAAATGGTTCTCTTTAGGCGTTTCAAGCCCGACAATATTATGCACGCCCTTCACGACGACATGTTGCCCCTCTTTGCCACGCTCCTCGAGACATGGGGTGCGGTACTCGGGCATTTGCGCGTGCGTTTCTGCTCTGCACACCTAGCTATTCTGACCTGACCGTGATCTCGATCATGCATACCTTGAACAGGTGTGGGTCGCCAGGACGTGCAGCTGGTCGCATTGGATCCGTTCCCTTCGGTGCTTGGCACGTCACCTCTGCTGGATCATCTGACCACAAGACCGGCCCTCCATCTTCGCGACCTGTCCCCGCAAACCCGCTTTGTCTGTTTTCAGTGAGTCGTTTGATTCTTCTTCATATTTGTGGAGGCACATGCAGCGCTTTATCCGTGATGACACGCCTTATGCTCGTCTTGTTGGTGCCAATTAGACGTGCGCACATGGGTCTGAGCAAGCGCACGACTTGGTACGACTACGGATTCTTCCAGCCTCAAGGCCCCTTACCCGTAAGTGGCGAAATTTGCTGCGGACCATCACCCTCCATTTGCCCTGCCCAGGATCAGACTAACAGGCCCAAACTCCAGAACAAAGTTCCCGACTCGGGAATCATTCAAGCCTTTGTACGCCTGATCCGACACAGGTGCGCGGGTCCACTCGTTTCGATCGTTCGTTCCAGCAATGCCCATCCCCAGTCAAACTGGGAGACTCGCTGATCCCTCTTATCTTCTAGGCTTGGACTGTCGGATCCAGGACCTGTGTTACCTTCCGCCCGAGTCAAAACCGTGGCCATATTTTCACGCACACGCAACCGTTTCATACTCAATGAGGTGAGGTGACTGCTGGAGGTTTAACCGCGCGACGATTACTGACGGATCATTCGCTTCCTCGCCCCGCAGAAAGAGCTCATGCAGTCGTTGCGAACGCGCTTGCACGCCAACGTGCGCCTTGTTCGAATGGAAACGATGAACTTTACCGAGCAGGTACAAACCGCTGTGAGCAAGACCTTACATGATCTTTGCCGCCCCCCTTCCCCCCCCCCCCCCAGCTCCTTCTGTCCTTCGTCTCTGACGTGGCGAGCGTTGCGTAGGTTGAAGCCTTGTCCTCGTGTCATGCCGCCATTGGAATGCATGGCTCTATATTGATTATGAGCCTTTTTCTACCGCCGCGCGGCAAGTTCGCCGAGCATTTGGGGCAGCAGAGTTCAAAAGTCGTTTAATGGATGACATTCTGGCCAAGCTCATATCCCTCTCCCTGCGTGCGTCAATACACTGCAGCGGTGCTCATCGAGCTGTTTCCTTTTGGCGTGGATCCCTCCCATTACACGCCCTATCAAGTCTTGGCAACGCAGCTTGGTGTGTCAGAGTCATGAAAACCGGATGGTGGCTCAGCATCTGGGTCTGACCGCTCCTTGAGTATGCCCTCTATCTGCCACCTAGGTCTGGGTCTAACCTATCGTGCCTGGAATAATACGCAAGAGGCATGGACACTCACCTACCCAGACCGTTCGCCCTCCATGGGTGGGCTTCGACACTTGTCGCCCCATCGTCAGAAAGAGGTCTGTCGTACCGAGCTCCAAGGAGACGGCATTTTCATTCATGAAGGTCACTACTGTTTCGATGATGCGACAACAGATTATGGGAACGCCATACGTTCCGCCACACACATGCTGCTCGGATCCGTATTGGCTTTATCGCATCTATTCTGATACACATGTGGATGTGCCGGTAAGTCATTCTTGGGTGCTGCTCGGCTGGACTTGTGGTACAACGATTGACTGAGCTTTTCCTGACATCAACGATGGCGTGCTGTGGTTGGCAGTGGGTCATTGACACGCTGCAAGACATTTGGGACTCTAAGCTGCCGGAACAATCGTCAAATGCCATGCTGCCGCTGGGTCCAGTTCTCCCACCCGTGGTGCCCAGCGCACCGCGCCACATTGAGTGTGCTCGACTCAAGTCACCGGGCCTGGACACAAGTATGTCAAAAATGGTTGTGCTAGGCGCGTATGTCTGGCGCCAGGCTTGAATTTACTGACGGATGAGACATTGCCATTGCAGTCTTGAGCATTGAGTTTGAAGCACCGGTGAACGCGGCGTACGTTCCTGACCTCTACTTTGAAGTCTGGATCCAAGAAACACAATCCGTTCACAAGACCACTGGTTCGTATGAGGCACCATCCCAAGGTTACGTGCCGTATGATGCTGCTTGACGCCCAATGTGTTTTGGAATTGGAAGGCGCATTCTGACCTCGCAGGGCTGGTATAGATTTATGGCTGGAGCTGCGTGGGCGTGAGGCAGACAAGGCCCGACACATTTGGGTGCGCACCATCTCAGGAGCTGGCACCGTAGGGCCCTTTGCACCGGGTACCCAGTGCCCTGATCAATAACGACGAAAAGTGTTGATTGAGAGCCACTTTTTCTTTTCGTCTTTCTGTTTTCGACGAAGTGCTGTTTATTTGTTTGGACAAGTGACAGGCGACGAGTTTGGGAATGGAATTAGGCCAGAGCCGGGTCAATGCGTCAACGGCAAACGGATAATTGAATTTATTGGACAGTCCAGCCGCCGTCAAGAGCAAGAGTCTGTCCAGTGATGTTGCGAGCGTGATCCGACATCAAAAACTCGGTGGTGCCGGCCAGCTCGTCCAGAGAGATGAAGGCCTGCTTGGGCATGGGTTTCAGCTGTGTAGCAAAAAGGAACGGAGGATGAGTCCCCAAACAAACCACGAGGCAAGCAATGGCAAGTGTAGCCATGAGAAAAGAGGGGCCCTGAAAGCACGTCTAATACGTACGAAGATTTCGGCAACGACTTGCTCGCGGGTCATGCCATGGGCCTTGGCTTGGCCCTCAATCTGGGCCTCGACCAGCGGGGTCATGACGTAGGCAGGGCACACAGTGTTGATGGTGATATCGCAATCAGCGGTCTCAAGGGCCATGACCTTGGAGAAGCCAACCAGGCCGTGCTTGGCGGCCACGTAGGCCGATTTGTACTTGCTGGCAATGAGGGAGTGAATGCTTCCGATGTTGACAATGCGACCATAACCATTCTCGCGCATGCTGGGCAACACGGCCTTTGTCATGGAAGCACAGCCGACCAGCATGACGTCGACGAGCAGTTGCCATTTGTCATCGGGAAAGTCTTCGAGGGGCGACACATGCTGGATACCGGCCTGTGCGGGGGAGGGCACCCCCAAGTGCAGTTGATGAGCGAAGCATCGAAAAGGCCATGGTCCAGACAGGCATTGGGACCGGGTCAAAACTGAACGAAAACAAAAAGAAGAACAAGGAGGACGTGATAAAAAAAAAAAAAGGACGAGGAGTCAGGAGGGAGCTCAGCACGGTGGGCGTACATTGTTGACCAGCACGTCGGGCGGGTTGTCTTGCAGCTGGGCCATGAGATCGCGAATGGAATCCTTGTTGCTGACGTCAAGGGCATACGCCCCAATAACATTGCCACCGGCTGCACGCAGCTCTTCGGCGGCAGCCTGGGCCGTCTCCAGCTTGAGATCGGTGATCATGACACCATGCTTGGCCGGGGACTTGTTGCAGAGGTAGGCGGCAATCCCCTTGCCGATGCCACTGCCGGCCCCCGTCACCAAAACGCGGCGTGTTGCCATGGCCATGATGCCGATTCCAGCCTATACGAAGCATCAAAGCACAAATCAGGAAAAGCGCCAAACCGGAGAGCCGACTCATTGGCTGCTTCACCCCACGAGACGGCGTGTCGCCATTCAAATAGGGCTCGCCCCCGTTGAGCCCGGCAGCGGCCGCACAGATAGATGGTTTAAACCCCTTGATACCAAGACGGAAGAACCACACTCAGCCCCATTCACCCTCCCCCGTTGACCCCTTTGACCCCTTGAGACCGCACCTCTCTACACCTTGTCACGCGGAGCCCTGACTGCCATTGAGATCCAAGTTCGGAGCCACTGAGAGAGCAGAGAGAGCAGAGAGCAGAGAGAGAGCACAAACCTGCGAAAAAGCAAGAAAATGCTTAAACCGAATCATCTAACCTTACTCATGACACTCACGTGATGCTTTTTGTCTTCTCTCGAGAGAGAGTCTCTCTTTGTTCTCCTTTGTTCTTTCTCTCTCTCTCTCTCCTTTGTGTCTTTATTAAATTTTCTGTCTCTCGTTATTTGTTTCGTGTTTTCTCTCTCTTTTTTCTTGATTTTTTTTTTTTGAAGAGGGCTTGGGGGCTGTACATGTATGCTCTACTGGGTCTCTTTTCTTGTCGAAGGCCGTTTTTTTTTTTTTCCTGACCTGGGGGTGATAAACAGGACCCGTGGTCGTTGACATAAGTACCAACTTCCTCTTTGACTCAAACCTTTAAAGCAAAGATGATAGAGCCATCAGCAGCTTTTCTTTTCTCCATCAATTTGCACAATAGATCGGTCGAGAAATCAAATTCGGGGATATGCTTGATTGTTATTACTATAAACTACATAAACCAGACTTTACCAAATGCCCCAAGAACCTTGCTTGGCATCGCCAGGCGTCAGCTGTAGGCAAATCTCGCCGTTGGCGTCCACGTCAACGTGAACCCGCATGCCCGCTTGCAGTTCACCCTGTGATTGCCAGAATGGCTCATGAGCAAATTCTCTTTGGTCAACCTCGACCCGCGCACCGACCGATTCTCACCTTTTCGTGGACCATGGCAATGCGGTTGATGACCAGCTGGTCAATCGCGTGTTGCAACGAGCGGGCACCAAAATGAATGTCAAACTCGCTGGCCAGGACCGAGTAGACGGCATCCGACCACGACAGCTCAATATTGTGCCGCTATCGAGCACATTGAGTTCCGTCGCCACGTCTTGTGAGAGCACGACGTGCTTGAAGCACACACCTGCTGCGGGCTCAGACAGCAAGACTCACCTCGGCTGCCTTGACAGCCCAGTTGTCGAGCTCCATGCGAATTAGATCACGCTGCTCAGCATCGGTAAAGGGCGTAAAGTACACTGTCTGATCAATGCTGCAAGTGGCGCAAATCCCCCAGTCACAGAGCACGTGAAGGGCCTCTCGAACCACAAAAAAAAAAAAAAAAAAAGAGAGAGAGAAAGTCTGTGCACCAAAGTTGAACCACCCATGCAGACATACCGGCCAAGGAATTCATCTCGTTGAAAGTGTCGCTTGAGAATGGGTCGGATCACATGCTGTTTGAATTCTCGTGAAAGCTGAAAACTAGTTTCGCTCTGATATACGATGCGAGTAAGCGGTGAGTCAAAGCGGGTGATCAGCCGACGCGCACAAGTCTTTCATACCTCTTGAGTTTCCTTGACAGCCTGCCGCAACTCCCAGGCATGCTGTGCGATCACGTCGCTAGCCAGGTTGGAGGTCATGATGAAAACAGCATCCTTACACTCGACAGTTTGGCCCCGACCATCCGTAATGCGGCCCTCATCGAACAGCTATTGCACATTTACATGTTAATCCCCCGTCACAATAAAATTGGAATGCCACGGGAAAGGGCACGGATCGAGGCAGAACAATCAAAACACTCCCAACCTGCAAGAGCACAGTCAAGACATCCTGCAGCATGTCCCACACCGTCAGTAAGCATAGGTGGCACGGCACAGACAGAACGGCATTCGATCGAGCTTGACACCTACCGGATGCGCCTTTTCAACTTCGTCGAAGAGGACCACAGCGTTTTTACATTTGCTGAGCGCATTGGTCAGCACTCCACCATCCTCGTGCCCAACGTAGCCAGCGGGCGAGCCTAGAGTCGGCGCAGGGTGTTAGCAAAGAGCGTTTGGATGGTCGCCATGGGTGCCATGGACGCTGCCAAGGAGTTTGAGTCTGACCAATGAGCTTCGAAACTTCGTGCTTCTCTTGAAACTCGCTCATGTCGAGGCGGACAAAGCCCTCGAACGAGGCCGGCACGCGGGGCGACTCATCGTCATGAATGTACTGTGCAATACGCTTGGCCAGCTCCGTCTAGTCAAGCCCAGAATGCAAACACGTCCAACGATCAGACCAGGCAAACCGACCATCAAAAGCAAATTGGCTACAACCACGTTATATTAGCCCTGACAGCACTGGCTGAAAACCCCCACCTTGCCGACGCCAGAAGAACCTGCCAATAGGACAGGCATTGGGGAGTTGGGTCCAAATAAAATAGGGTGAGCCAATGTCGCACAGTGCTCATCGATCAGTTTTGATGTAGGACCAGCAAAATGCCCCCACCACGTTGGGCAGCAACATACCGAGGAAAAGGAACACGAGAGGATGATCTTCGTTGTGCCAGCCATTTTCCTTGCGTCGGATAGCAGCGGCCACGGACATGATGGGGCCATCCTGGCCGACAATGTAGCGATGAAGGCGGTCTTCCAGTGGGAAGAGCTGCCGGCGGCGACGAGCCTCGGCAGCCTGGGCCTGTTGATGCTTGGCTTTGATGGTCTCGTATTGTTGAGCATAGTCGTCCAGCATGGCCTCGATGGCGGGCGTGGCCGCCAAGTCACGCGGCACGTCTCCTGCGGACCAGCACAGAAGAGTTAGAAAGCAAGCCAAGCTGAAGCAGATTGCGTTCCATTCAGGGGGCAAATGCATGGACTTACCCGCAGCCGAGTGCATGCCGGGATCAGCGGCGCGGTCCATCAGGAGCTTGATAATGTCGGCTTGACCAAAAAGCGCTGCATAGTGCAAGGCCGTCAAACCCAGGCCCGGCTGCAAAGGATCCAAATCGGACGAAAATTCACGCTGCCCGCTCAAACGTGAGGGTTCCCCCCGGCATGATAAGTGAGGAAAGATGAGAGATTGAACATGGGCTGGAGCACAATGTTCTTACCTGCCGGGCAATGACAGAGTGGCGAGTGAATCGCGCAGCACCGTAACGATCCTCCTGGTTGGGGTCAGCACCGGCGTCCAGCAGAGCACGCACGACGTCGGCCTGCCCGCGGACGACAGCGAGATGGAGAGCTGACCAACCAGCCTCATGCCGCAGGTCGGCATCCACCTGGTGGCTAGTGAGCAGCTGCACACGTGAACGCGTTCAGAGTGAGAATAAACTCGTGCGCGTGGATGTGGTGGGCACACACGAGTAATGGCTGCACATGGCGACCCGCCGTGCAGAAGGTAAAAAAAAAAGGTACCTCTTGGACCCGGGCCGAATCCTGGCGTCGAATGGCGGCAAAGAGCTCCTGCTGGGACCTCGAGTGGGGGGTTTGGTCACTGGCACATGCTGCAGTAGTGGCTCCAAGCGCTGTCCCGGCCAGCGCCAGGCCGGCCAGGCGGCCCCACCAGTCTTGCGTGCGCCGGCGGTCCCTGGTGTGCGTCAGGGCAGCAACGGCCGCCGGTGCAGACGTGGCAGCGTTGGCTGTTGGCGCAAGGCGCTGGACAGCCTTCCCAACCAAGTCCTGTCGGGCTGTCTGCTGCAGCAGCCGTGAAGCACGATTAAGCTTGCGGTAGTCTAAGCGCCGTCCGCGACGAGCAGCAGGCCCGAGGGTTTGTCGCCACATGTTTGCAACCTGCACCTGCAACAACACGAGCACCTCATGTGAGCACGCACAGCCATGTGATGTTGCATTCAATCCCTCGACAGCCAGTTGCGCCGACTACTCCACCGCTTTCTCCCTCCTGAGCAGGTAAAAGCCGCACGTAGTACCTCAAGTCTGTCCCTCTCCAGGCGCTCTTGTCGCGGCAGTTGTCGCAGCAGATCCGACGCAGTCAGTCAGTCAGTCAGTCAGTCAGTCAGTCAGTCAGTCGGGGCTGCCGTCTTGGAGCTGTTGTTGACGCGGATGAAAAAAATGTGAGCGTCTGCTTTCTCTGGTAATAAGAGTGCAACTCGCATCTTCTCTGGGCTCGACTCTACCCCTTCGTTAGATCTCTGATTCCGGCTTGATATTAACTGTTGTCCAACCGCTACTTTGCGTGCACCTCTACAAGTCCTTCTTCACCCAGATACATCTCTTTTCCTCTCACCACTTGGCGTCTCCACCTCTGCCACCCATTCGTTTCTCGCTCTTTCCAGTACCTGAACACAGCAAAACATTCTGACATTCTGACATTTTATTGTCAGACGTTTATAAGAGAGAGAGAGAGAGAGAGAGAGAGAGAGAGAGAGACAGAGAGAGAGACAGAGAGAGACAGAGAGAGACAGAGTTTTGAGAGAGAGAGAGAGAGAGAGAGAGAGTTCACGTGTTTTTTTTTTTTTTTCATTTTTCGGGCGACAGTGTGTGTGTGCTCGGCCAGCTGGCTGCCTCTGCGTGGCCTCTGCGTGTCTTGGCGTTTCCGTCTCTGATTGCCAAGGGGGGGCGTGGAGGGGATTCATGCGAGGGGAAGAGGTGCTCTTTCGGTTTCGTTTAATGCTCCCTGTGGACCTTTGTGGGAAGGACCTGTGGTTGTCTGATGCCATCTGTGGGTTTAAGCCAGGCGGCGGGCCGTCGGCTCTCACAACTTGATCGTGTTCGGGCAAGCAGGCTGTGTTGGTTTCAAACCCTGGTGCCTGTGCCGAGCTAGGTGATTAAATCCAGTGTGTGTGTGTGTCCTCGCAATCTGAACTTGCCGCCACAGGGGGCTCGGGGGCATCATGCCGCGACTTGCGCCGGCGATACGCCGGGTGAGCCCTCGACTCTGGTCGAGGCCAGCGGTTGAAACAAATGGACGTCCAGCAGCGCGGCGATGGCTTTCCTCGGGTGATTTGGCCATGCTGAAAACCAGCCGGCACGTGTTTTCCCGACGAGATACCGGTCTATCACCGCTCTTGCACTTGCTCTCTTTTGAGGATGAGGTCAGCAAGAGCAAGGACCCACCGCCGGAGGCTGGACCGCTCTTACAAGCTGCCTCGCGCCAGGATGAGGACGTGAGTCTCAAAGATCTTGTGCATGAAATTGTCGGTGACAATATCGATCGGCAAACTGCCCTTCAGGTCCATTGCCGGCGCGCAGCTGGCCAGTCTTGGTTTGGCTCGGGCATGGGCGTCGCGAGTGCACACACCATCCTAGCCTGGCTGGCGGAATGGCAAGGCGAGGTCTCTGCCGCTGCCGAGCACGCCCACGAAGGGTTCAAGGCCCTGGCTTTAGATCTTGGGCCCCGCTCGACGCCCGAGGGCCTCGAGTATCACCGCGACCTGGCGGCAGCCATGCGTCTCAATGTCAACCCGGATGACGAGGTTGAAACTGACCTTCATGAAATTTTCCTGGCCGATGCGGGCGCGCACATGGCCCATGCTCTTCTGCTGCAAGTTATCGATCAGGCCCCAGTCCCGCAACCCGTGGCGTCCGCTGCGGCACGCCGCAGCTCGCCGCCCTCGCCGCCCTCATCGCCCCCCTCTGGCTCAACCTCGACGCCCGGTGTCAACGATGAACAGCAATTGCTAGACCTCTTGTGTGGGCGCGCCCACCTGGACCTGAGCAGCCCGTCGAGAACCCCTTCCGTTAATTCTCACTCTTCAGTGGCCTCCTGGGCCGAGGAACAGGTGGCACCCCTGAGCAACCTTCTGCTGCGTGCCTTGCTCCTGCTTGGCAGCTTGACCAAGCACCCCATGGAGTGTCGCGCGCAGTATCTGCAGGCACAGCTGGATTTCGCGCTCGCTGCTGCTCTGTTGGGCTCTCCGCGCACCTTTGTGCATGCGGCAGCCCAAGCTCTGTTCGTGGCTCGAGAGCTTGACGACAACCATGCCCTGAGTCCGGCACTGCGGATCGCCAGCTGTCAGATTGGCCACGTTCTTCTGGCCTGGACAGCCGAGCAAATGGACCCGGGCACTGCCCGCTCTGGGCCCATGACTGAGACACTCTTGGACCTGGCACATTGGACCGCCCTAGCTCACAGCCAATCCTTGGTGACTTGGAACCAAATTTTGTTTTTGGATCATGGGCGCTTCGCCGTGCCACCTTCCAAGCTGTTGGCTAACCGGGTTCGACTTTTGAGCCTCGCCAGTCAGCGCCCTTTTGCGGCTGCCCCGCACGTTGACTTGGACAGCCAGGACATGCAAGTGCTTGAGCTGGGTCTTCAGGTCTGGCCCACCTTTCACGAATCTAGGATCTCCCGCTGGGGCCTCACCCCGGACAACGCCCTTCACTTTCCCCGCGTGTCGCCCCGAGCCAAGATGGAAGTTGAAGCCAGCTTCCGACCCCTGGTAGCCCCCCTTCCTCGTACATCCACGCGCCAGGGCGCAACCTCACCGGCCAAGCCCTTGGCTCGTTCCAGTTGTGCCTTTGAGCAAGGCGAGGCTTGGTTTTGGCTGGCGCTCGTGGCCTCGGGCCGGCATCACCTGCGTGGTTGCCTTCAAGCCGTTGCCGATCGTCTAGCGCTCTATGGGCCCTGCCTGCCAGCCGTGCAAGAGGCACGAGCCCTAGCCGTGGCCGTTACGCAGGGACAAACAGCTTCGACCGGTGGCTCTTCTGGCTCCTCGAACCTGCCGGTGGCCAGCCCCGTGCATCTGCCAAATGTCCTCAAACGCCGCCGTCACGTGGACCTGCCTTTGCTTCAAGAGGCGTGCGATGCAGCGCATGCAACCGCCTTTACGTCTCGCAACCTGATCCACCGACAAAAGTTGGACCTCCAACTCCTCGAGTACGCCACCCTACTGGATGTGAGTCCGACTGTTTTGGTCAACCTGTGGATGTTGCACTTGTATGTGCAACATCATCTGTACCCGCTCTTGCACGATCCCAAGGCCATCCCGCCCGTGGTCCGCGCCCACAACGAGGCTGTTTTCCAAGCCATGTTCACCATGACCATGCAAGTTTTGACCGCGGGGGGGCAAGTCAGCCTGAAAGATCTCCTCTACGGCGACTCTATGGGCTTTTCCGTTGAACAGGCGCAGCTCGTCTGTTGGTTCTACGAGAACAACGGTGCCGTCCTGCCCCGTCTGAACAGCAACGACCAAACCCTCTCAAGCCAGCGAGACTTGGTGCTCCATGGTCTGAAACTCTTTCGTGGTGCCGTGTTGGAAGCGCAGGCCAACAGTGCCACTCGCGAAGCTCTCAGTTGGCTCTTTGGTCGACGCTAAACCCTTGCAGACCTTCGAATCAGTTTGCGCACTGCCTGCTCAACCCCTTACTTTTGGCGCTGCGCGCCCAACCTTGACCTGCATGACCAATCCAATCCAATCTGTGTTGATCCTTCTATTCACAGGTGCACGCAACTGCATGCTACAATCTACCACCCCGTCCTTCAATAGTCTTTGGTGGCGCAAAAGGAAAAAAAGAAACAAAGAAAAAAAAACCCGTGAAGTTGTGATTTTTTTTTCTTTTTTTTTCTCAAAAAAAATTCTCAAAAAAAAATTTCATTTCGCACACACACACACACACACACACACACACACACACACAGAGTGACGCTGCGCTGATCGTCGAGGGCGAGCAGCGGCATATCCGAGCCTCGCCTCGGTTGGAGTGCTGAAGGTGTGAAGGAGGAAGCCACAAGGTTGTTAGGGGGTGCGGGTCTTGGTGCGGTACAAGTGAACAAGACTGGCCAGGATGGATGTGAGCCTTGAGGAAGTTTCGCTGGAGGCGACCGCGTCAGCGGATCAGCAGGTGACCAGTGAAGCCCTTGATGAAAGCGATGATGAGGTCTTGGTCATGCCGGCCGCGGCTTCGACGGGGCCCTCCGTGCACGATCTCATTCAAGCCCACGAGCGCGCCGGAGCTCCCTTGTACATTATGCTGTCTTCCTTCCATCATACCAAGGGGCCAGTCATTGAGATGGTCTATCCACGCCTGAACCCCGGGGCCAGTGGCGATCGGGATGACCAAGCTCATCATGTGGAAGAAAATCCTGCGCTGCCTGCGGCGTGGGCCCATCTGCCCTTTTTGACGTTGCCGGACGGTCTTCACAACCACCACCAGGACACAACCTTTTTCACAGTACCCGCCTTAAAGCCCGGACATCGCGACCAGCCACAGCAGCGGCTCTTTGGCGTCGCCTGCTCGAGGCAAATCGAGACAGAGCGCCTCGCCGAGCACGCAGAGTATAACCGCAACACCGTCATGAAGGCACTCACGGTGCTTTCACCCTTTCCCGTCTTCAAGCTCTTGGAAAGTGCGCTGGCCCCCACCCTCCAGGTCCTCTTTGAGCAGCGAGCCCTGGACGCTGACACGTTGCTTGTCAGCCAGTATCAGAGCCTGACTCGATCCTTCAACAGCCGGAGCTTTGACCTTCAAGACTATGTTCTTGAGGAAGTGGATGTTACAGGCGTCATCATCCGTCTCCGCCACCGCGTCCTCCAGGTGTGTGTGTGTGTGTGTGTGTGTGTGTGTGTGTGTGTGTGTGTGTGTGTGTGTGTGTGTGTGTGTGTGTGTGTGTGTTGCCTTTTTCAAGCGTCGCAAGTCGATCAACGCTGGCTTGTTCGCCGGGCATGCTTTTTCACCTCCCGCAACGTGATTGGGTATAGATTTTCAAGCTTTTGCTGCTTGGTAAAAAGGTGGGCTTGTTCACCTCGCACTCAGCAAAAAAAAAAAAAAAAATCAACCCCGTCTACTTTTCTCGCTGCCTGCCACCTTCCTGATTGGAGGTTGTGTTTGCTGCGCTGTGGTCCCATGGCAGGTTTTAATTTGTTCTACTAGCTCCGACGTTTCAGCTGCCACCATCAGTCAAACGATTGTGGCTCTCGCCGCCCTGGTACCGGGCATGCTTACCTGCCTCCACACCGCCACGGAAGACGCCCAGGGAGGAAAGATTTTGAGCGCTCGCTCAAGCCCCACCCCTGCGCCGGATGATCAAGTTCATAGCAGCCCAGACGCCGAGGCAGATGCGTGGCTGGATGCTGAACCTCATGCCGCGAGCCCCAATTTGCAGGTGTGCCTGATCAATCCTCCGACCACTGCCGGCAGATCGCAAACTCGAGCCTTTTCGGGACGAGCTTCTTACCTTGTGCGGAACCCTGCCTTGGCCCATTCGACGCGAACATCTAGGCTACGCCGCCCGATGTGACAGAGACTTTGGCTGAGCGTACGAGCAAACTTTTACTGCCAGTTTTTGTGGCCGACCACAGTGGCGGGGTGAGTCAACCCCTAACAACCGAATCGTCGTGCTCTGCTCGACGAGCCGTGACGCCAAACCCATGGTGCTAATGGCTGCCTGTCACCAAATGCTGCAGCATACGCTTTATCCCTATACAACCATCCAGCAGCTGCCTGCTCTTTTGGAGGCCAAATCCTGTTTAATGGGTACCACCAACGCTATGATGACCCAGCATTCTCAGCTGGCAGACGTAGTTGTGGATCTCTGCAATCACAAGGGCAATGTCTCTGTCCAGTAAGTAATGCCACTCCGGCCTCTTTTCGTGCATTTGGGCCTTGATGTTTTGGGTCATGCCAATCTGTTTTAGGTTTGCCAACAAGTTTGTACAAGACGAGGCTGCCTTGTCCACGCCGGATGTGCGGTTCGTCCGTCGTGCAAGCCGTTTTCTTTTATGCTATACTCGCTTATGCGAACCCCCGTTTTCACGTCATAACGTTTCTTTGTTTTCAGCTTTATGGACGACATTATTGCACAATGCGAGGAGGCGCAAAACGCTGCTGCACCCACCTTTGCCGGTTCACCGGCGTGGTGTTGCTATCAGGTGCAAGATAGCTCCTGCTTTAGTGGTCCTGTGCCTGATGCTTTTCATCGCGCCACTGCATACTCACGAGGTTCGCATGTTCACATCAGTTTACGGACTACATTTTGCGCTTTTTGGCTGGCGTGGACTTTGCTCGTGAGCAGCCCACCAAGGAGTCTCTTGATCGCCTCAACGGTGCGGGCTCGTGTTCGTGCTTGATGTTCAACATTAACTGGAAGGACATGCGACAGGCCCTGCGCTGGTCCACAAGATTGCACGTCATTTTCATCGCTTTTGCTTGCCACCATCTAGACTATGGCTCCTTTTATTTTCTGGGCATGCGCTCAACGCACAGTTACGCACGATGGTGCCGTGCCGCAGACAAGGTACGATGGTCCAAGCCCAAGCAAACCATCAAGGTGGTGGAAGCAACCTGACCATCTGATGAACCACGGTGCAGCATATGCGAGAGACGGGCCGGCGCATGTACATGGACAGTCCTCTGGAACACCCTTGCCGCGGCGCCCTGCAGGTGCGTCTTATGCCAGGCAACCTGCCTCGGGGTGTTTTGTTTCCCATTGCATGTTGGTTGACTCACCCTGATGTTGCGAACACAGTTGAAGGACATTGGGCGACGCGCTCGCCAATTTTCGGACATGCACTTTGGCCCCAATCTGGGTGTGCGCAGTCAGCAGGCGATGAAGACGGCGGTTGAAACCAGCTCGCGAGTACGTGAACTAGACCCTCGCCTGGTGACGACATGTATACACACCCTGATGTCATAAACTCGTCCTCTTTCTTTTATCATAGACCCTGACCAAAGCCTTTCAGAGCAGCAAGCAAGGTCTTGGCACAGCCTGGACTTCGGTGAGTAATTGGTGGAACTCGCAGCGGGCTTCTGCAGCCGATGGCGGTGATTCAAGCCCGGCTGCCCGAGACGAGCCCATTATCACGTCTGCGGAGGTTGCGCTTGACGAATCAGCGTCGACCCCACCCATGGTCGAGCCTTGAGACTTTCGGCCCGCGACATGCTCAAGATTCATTTCACTCTACATCTATTCCAAACGGGCTCGTGTTCGTTTTGCCGCACAAAGCCAATTGTTGTGAAACACATTGTTATCTGCATTCCACGGTGCATCCCTTCATCTGATCAAGGTCCCATGTGACGTTACTTCATGCTACCAGTTCAATCGTCGGCGACTTTATATCATTGCGAGGCATCCCGAATTTGAACCGATCGTCCGATTTTGAGTAATTGCGGATGTGTTGGCCTGTCATCTAATCCAACTGGTGCTATTTACCTCATCTCCAAACGCCTGCCCCGAACAGTCAACGCACATTCTTGTTCTACACAGCGATCCCATAAGCCCAACGTCTCTTTCTGTGCAACGCCGTTGCAAGCATGAGCCAAGAAAATACATCAGGGATGAAATTTATTAAATTTTAAACTTTTAAAAGAAAAGTGTAAAAGTGTTTTGACATTGGGCTGCAATTTTTATAAATTTTTTGTAAGGCGATGGCAGCCACGATGCGGGCGGTGCCGCCTGTGCGGGGGGATGAGGTCTCGCGCAGCTCGCGCATTATCGTTGTTGGGGCGGGTATTGCAGGGCTGAGCTGTGGCATTGCCCTGCACCGCCTTGGCTTTGAGGTGCTGGTCCTTGACAAGGTAAGCGGAATGCGCGCAACAGCTTGCAATCCATCGCGCGCGCGTGGCACGCAATCCTTCTTAACTGGGTCGACTCTCCGTCGTCTCTGTTTCCCGGTAGGTGCGCGAGCTGCGCGATGCTGGTTCGGGCATGAGCGTGATTGGCCACAGCTTGGTTCTGCTCGAGGCTCTGGGCGTGAACATTGAAGAGCTGGGCCTGCGGCAAGTCAATGTGTCTTTGCGCAGTTTTGATGATCGCTGTCTGTTTCAAGTCCCACTGGATGCAGACCCAGCTCTGGTTCGGCGTTATGGCTCGGTCCAGTACAACGTGCACCGCGGTGAATTGCAGCAAGCCCTTCTGCGGGCTGCGCTAGCTACAGGCGTGCAGGTGTTGACGGGCTCGCGTGTGGTGGGCTTTCGCGAAGGTCCCACCGATGTGGAGGTGCTGCTCGAGAGCGGCGCCACCTATCACGGAGCTTTGCTTGTTGGTGCCGATGGAACCAACTCGGTGGTGCGCCGGACACTGCTTCCCCAGCATCAGGCTCGGTACAGCGGGTTCTCTTGTTGGCGGGGCATCACCGAGACGCCGCCAGCCTCGGCCACCCGACACGGAGACCGAATGCTCAAAACCATTGTCCATCGTCCGGGCGACGATGTCAGCTTCACGGCGGGCTTTGCGCCGCGCAACCGCTGTTTCTGGGTCCTTGATGTGCGCTACCCCGCGGTTAGTGATGCTTCACCAATGGCGGCCAGTGTTTGTATGATTGCGTCTTCAAACCCTCTCACCTGAACTTGTGCGCGGGGGTGGCGGCTTTGCACTGGGGGGGCCGGGCGTGCAGAACACATTGATGCCTGGCCGTGATGGCAAAAGATACGTGTTGGAGCGCATGACGAACTTGTCGTCAGAGTTCAAGGATATCGTTCAGGCCACCCCTGATGAGAATGTACTGCAGACGGACATTTATGATAGCGACCCCTTTGACTGGCACCGAGGGGGGCGGGTGGTACTGATTGGAGACGCCGCCCATCCAGTGGTGCATCACTTTGGACAGGGGGCATGCTTGGCAGTGGAAGACGCCGTGCGGCTGGCCCGCAGCTTACACGAAGCCCATCCAGACGTGGCGATGAGCGGCGAGCGGCGGCCGGTTTTGTCCTTGGCTACAGTGCGTCAGGCACTGGGAAGCTATGCCAGCCTGGGCGCCCGGGCTCGTGCGTGGTCGTTGGTGTATATATCGCGGTGGTGCGGTGACGCGTACATGCACAACATGCCGTGGCTCAACTGGGGTCTGCAGCTGTGTTTGGTTTTTCCCTTCAACTTGGTGTTTATCGTGGTGATGAAAGTATTGCTGTTTTGGGCGCAGCGTGATCTGCGCACATTTGCCGAGGCACACCTCACCGCCAAACGCACGTGAACCGGTGTTGAAGTGAGCTACCCTTGTGTCTCTCATGTGCTCAGCGTCTTGGACGTCAAGTGTGCGTTTGTGTGTGTGTGTGCACGGGTTGCAAATGAGCGGGCAGTGGGCCAAGCGGCAACAATGGCGAGTATGAATGGCAAACATTATTAATTGATAACGATGCTGTCGTTTTTTTTTTTTTTTTGGCACGCAGGAGGCTTGCGGCACTCTAGTGGGCAGGGGAAGACAGGGGGGAGAAGTAAAAGTCGTAGGCCAAGCCTACACAAAGGCAAGAGACGCTGCAGAGGATGTAGAGGCTCTCCACAAAGGGGATGGAGTCAGTGAGGGCTCGGTTGTGCCACCAGGCGGGGCTGTTGATGCGGAGGCTTTGCCAGAAGCGCAGCGGAAGTGGGGCAAAGTAGGCACATCGCTCGGCAAAGGTGAGGGGCAGTTGGTGGAGGAGAAGGGCGTAAATCCAAATGTAAATGCCGTTGTTGAGGTGAACGGCCTTTTCTTCGCCAATGAGGACGACGGAAGTGATTTTTTGTGCCTTGGCGTCACCCGCGCGATCGGGGATGTTCATGATGACCATGCGGTTGAGGTTCATCATGAAGATGGGCACGAGAATGACGAGAAAATGGTGGTCAATCTGGCCGTCTTGGAGGAGGCAGCCCACCACTGGGGTGACAAAGGTGAGGACGTAGCTGACGCAAATCTCGCCGAGGGCGTTGGCCGACAAGCGCAGCGGAGGCAGGCTGTAAGCAAAGGCGACGGCAAAGGTGCTCAGGCCAAAGGCGACAAAGGGCCAGGGCGCGGCCCGCAGAATCTCAGCCAGGAGGGCAGGGACAGTTTCGAGATCGTAGGTGTCGGGAAGGGAGACGTGCTCACGCAGGATGGCGTAGCGGGCGACACAGGTGGCCCCTGCGAGGGTAGCGCCGACGAGCAGAACCAGGCCCATGAGCAGGGCGGTGCCGCGTTGGATGGTGCCGGTGCGCAGAACCTTGCTGCCTCCGGTCCAGGAGCCAGCGTTCTCGTTGGCCATGTCGGCTTCATAGTCGCCGTAATCGTTGACATAGTGCGTCATGAGGTGGGTGAGCCAAATGGTGGCTTGCAGGGCGACGGCGCTGGCCAGGTCGATGCTTCGGCCCTGCTGCGCGGCAATCAAGACGCCAACAAGATGACAGGCGAGGCTGTAGAAAAGAAACTTGGGTCTTCCAAGCTTGATGAGCTCAAGGAGTTGAGCCGACGTTGAGCGTGTGGCCGTTGGTGCCTTGTCGGCCTCGCGATGCGGCGCGCTGTTGCCCTTGCCACTGACGTCGGTCTCGGCCGCGGAGCGAGTGCGCGGCGCCATTTCACCTGGTCCGCGTCTGATGTTGTGAACAACACCTATTGCAAACAAAAAGACACTTGTGCAGTCTCCTCAAGCCCCGGATGCAACCTGCATTACCGTCCAAAACACCCCGTTCCGCGTCCAACAA